CCAGCAGCAATCAACTACAGATGTTGCTGGTGTTGTAGGCTAACTTTTCAGGAGAGCTAGGGTACTTGGTCTTAGGGAATACAGAATCCTGAAAATCTAGCTTTATACTATTGATTAGAGGAAGGACTTTGGATAGAAAAGTGAGATGAAAAGAATGTTTTAGAAACACTTATATGGTAGCATACATATAAGAGACCCCCCAAAGCATTAAGTTTCTGGATCTCTTAATGTATCTAAAGCACCATGGTATATATATATTGCAGGGGATAGAAAGATAACATTAAATCTGTTTATGAAATATTTATAATTTACTCAAAAATATGTATTGAGAATCTAGTATGTGCCAGGCATAGGGTATATACTAAGCAAGGTAAATAATAGCCCTGTTCCCATGAACCTAGCACTTGTGCAGGATAAAAGGAATATATAAATGACTATGCTGTTGTGAAGTCAGGCCAATAAAAATAGAAAATGCTCTACAGGGAGATGGTCTGCGGAGGACAAAACGCTACCTTGTTTGAGAAAATGGAAAGGACATCAAGGAAAAAGCAGGGCTAGTGAGATGGTTTTGAAAGATGAAAAACATTGTGACAAGAGGGGGCATTCCAATGAAAAGCAACAAGTTGAGCAAATGCAAGGAAGTAGGGGGTCAAAAAGTAAGGAATAGAAAGTGGTGCCTCTGATTGGGCCATTGAGTGTTTCTTAAGAACAAAGCCTGGAGTCATGTAAAAATCACTGAATGGCAGAGGAGAAAATAGGAAGTCTTAAGTTAAGCAACAAAGAGCAAAGCTGTGCTTTAGGAATTTCTTCTGATAATATTTTGTAGAATTATAGGAAAGGAGATGAAGGTTGAATAATTGTTGGACGTTAATAGTGTCTGTAGCTCAGTAAAGAGGTATGATAATCATTTAACAGAATATAGAGACCAGAAAAAAGGCAGAAGTTTGGGGTGTGAAGAATCAATTAAAAATGGACAACTGAGGGGCCTCCCTGGTGGTGCAAATGGTTGAGCACAGCACTGTGAGGCTATCCACAGCCTCTGCAGCACAAGTTTGATTCCCAGCCAGCCAGGGAGTTACCAACATGGTGCAGCAGACCTCTCCTGACTTGCCTACGGCTCCCCTCAGCAGTGTATTTCAGTCAGTCTGCCTGATTTGTTCCCCACTCTCTGGTGGGTCTTCTCACCCCCGTACCTCTGACTTGTACGCCAGTTCTTGTATGCATAAATAAATAAATCTTAAGAAAAAATATCGACCATTTCATTCATTTCATAACCTACAAAGGTGAGATTTAAGTTTTTAAACTCAACATGCAAGCCTGAGTCCCTCTCCAGTCTCCCTTCTGTTCCTTTTTGCCTCACACTTCACATTCCAGTAACACCAAATGTTTGATTCCCGTGCTCTTTTTTGTCTTTCTGAGATGTCTTACTTGGCGTCCATTGCCTTCACCATAAGAGATTCTAACACAGATGGCACTGCTTCTTGGAAACTTCCTGATCACCACACTGGACTACGTGTCCTTAATCTGACATGGAGAAGTGACCGCAACTGCGGTTACCACAGTGAGGGGCCATGATCCAATTAGATAAATCATAAACCCCAATTAAGAGGGAGAGTATAAAATTCTAGAAACTGGAAGATACATGTAACATAAAGAACCACAAGAAATGCAAAACTACAATGAGCTGTTAGAGTTGGCATTAGCAGCTTTCAGGTTGATAGTTTATTTGAGCAGGTTGGAAAAAGCTAAATCTTAAAATATTAGTAGGCATTCATTAAGCAAGTATTTATTGAGCACTTTGTATATGAATATGACAATTAACAAAAATTCCTACCCTGAAATCTGAATAAGCTCAAGCTTCTAGTTCTAACTAGTTTACAGGAAACCCCATGGAAAAAGGAGCATACTAAATGATACTGCAGGAATAAATTTAGTTTCTTTAATGAAATCCAAGGGACAAAAAAGAAAAAATAAGAAAACTTCAAGCGAGCAAGACTTAAGAGATATAGCAACCAAATATAATAATACATGGCACTTTTTTGGATTCTGATTTGAATAAACCAACTATTAAACACATTTGCAATAATAAGGGGGTGAGAGGATCCTGATCTGAGTGAGGTTACATTCTAGGAGGCAGGTTATGAAAAAGAAAGTTAAGTAAATCATAATCACATAGTGTATTAGAAGTGAAATAGGAATAGGGTAGGGAGATCGGGAATTTCAAGGAAGTAAGAAAATAAGCCGTTAATGGCTTTCAAGAGCAGTAAAGAGAGGCCATAACGTGAGAGATTAGAAAACAGAGAATTTGTAACTGAGGGAAAGAATTTAGCAGATTAAAAATAGGAATTTAGCAGAATTTAAAAATAGGAAGGAAAAATTAAAAGCCTTAAACGGGAAGAAATTACATCATTGTTATAATGTGAGCATTAGTTGTGACTAGAATAAAACGAGATATTCTGAGGTAAAAAGTAATGGTGTTGATAATACCTAGATTGATAAAGACCTCCTTGTACCGGGCCTACCTACCAAGTCTTCAGGCTCACCTTTTTTGGACATATTGGATAAGAGAATTTCTGAACATAATCTCCACTTCAGTATTCAAATAGTAGTAAAATACTTCTTTCTTAATTATTGACAAAAACTCACATTCCAAAGGCAAAAGCTCCTTTTGTTAACTTCGCTTTTCTTTTTCTGGGCCCACAATAGCAGGCAGTTAGGGAACACATGAGTTTCTCTCTTTCAAATTAATTAAAAGCATCAATTGATATGCTGAACATCATGGCTGGTCTTATGTTCCATCTGATAAGCTGAAGATCTGAGTACCTGTGATAGGGCCTGGTTTTGCAAGCAATTTGATGTTCTGCATATTTATGTACAAATGTGTTTCAGCTTCCAAGTAACACATAAATTAATACTTAATGAAATCATTTGCCCGGAGATATTTTGTGCATTATTGTTAATCTTCTGAATATATTTGGTGGTGTACCATATACTCCAAAGTCAACTGTCAGGACTATCTTCACAAACACATACATATCCCATATCCTCCTCAAGACAAGCAAGTTTATTTCTCTTAATTATCCCTCAGAAGTCACCTTTCTCCAGGCCAAGCAAAATCTCTTTATGAGCACTCTAACTATTTATTTGAATCGCAGGTGATACTTGAAGAAATCACATTAGATTAAAACCACTTCAATCAGTGTTGCTTTCAGAGAACTAAAAAAAAGGCCACCATATTATTTAAAAATGAGAAAAAAAAATTAACAATTACTTAGGTCCTATCTCCAAGATAGCAAGCACAGGATAGGATGTTACAAGCATTTTAAAGATGATCATTTTAAAGAATAATATAAATGACTGTGGAAATTAAAGGACTAAAGGATGAATGAAATTGATAACTTGAAGCATGACATTTCCTACCCATTATTATCTTTCAAAACCTTTCTTTCAAACATATTTAACTAGCGGATACTTTGGAAAATTGCTAGGTATTTCAAAATGTCAAAGATAAGGGCCTCCCTGGTGGTGCAAGGGGGTAAGCACTGCACTATGAAGCAATCCGCAGCCTCTGCAGCACTTCGATTCCCAGCCAGCCAGGGAGCAACCCACATGGCACAGCAGACCTCTCCTGACTCGCCCGCTGCTCTCCTTACCCCCCACATCTCTGTCCTGTACCCCAGCTCTTGTATGCATAAATCTTTTTTTAAAAATGTCAGATATATATGAAAATGACAGAGAACTCATGAACAGAAATACCACATTTCATATAATTAAAATATGCATGTTTTTCATCTCTAAACTATGATCTAAGTAGATTCACTCTAAACACTCTATTTTTTATAAACGACACTGTATTTTAGGCAACATCCATTACACCTCTCTTCAATTCATACTATACCAAAGATTCTGACCTCCAGCACCACTTTAAAGTCTGTTGTGTGCATTGTAACACATTTAGCAGCATTTTGGTGTCCTTTCCAATATACTAATATTTCTCTCCCCAAGTTGTGACAAAAAAAAAAAAAAAAAAAATGCCTTGACATTGTTAAATGTCCACTGGGGGGCATAATCACTGCAGTTAATTACTGAAATAGTGAATGCTGTCAACACCTCTAGTTAAGTAACTTCCACTTTTTTTGCTGTCTCCTTTTCTAATTATTTGAAATCTAATTAAAATATTGGTTCCTCCTTGGAGAAAATTTACTATTACCATTACTCATTTACTTCCCTGTTAAATTTCAGAAAAGAAATTTAAAGCAGTTATTATGTACAGCTGTTACTGTAGAATAACACTGTTAGAACATTTATCAAAATAAAGGGAGGATTTATCAGATCAAATCCATAAAAGGCAGAGAAATTGAGACAATTGTTCATCAAATGGAGATATTACTGCATCTACTCTGCTACTAGCTGCTAACACTCACCTGCATTCCGACATTCTCATTTTGCTCAGGCTTCCCTTTTCCAAACAACAGATTTTTTTTTTTTATAAAGACAAATTATTATTTTTTTTTTTTTGTGGGACCCTCGCCGGCGGCCGGGGAACGACCGGCACTGCAGAGGCTGCGGGCAACCTTGCAGCCCAGCGCTCAACCGCTGCGCCACCAGGGGAGGCCCTAAAGACAAATTATTTTGAAGAACAATACAAGTGACTATAATGTAGAAATCAGTTACCTATGAGTGAAATTGACAATTTGAAGCATTAGATTTCTTATGCTTGAATTATTACTAATGAGAGGGAGTATAAACGGTCAACAGCAGATAAGCCAGTGCGACCTGGCAGTCTATCTTTTACTTTTTTGCTATTATCTATATACAAAAGCTAACTCACAGCCCTAAATCTCTACAAGATAGAGAAATCAGTATTAAATTACTTGAAAAATATGGGCCAAAATTAAGTATTTAGGATAGACTGATTTTTCCAAATATTTGATTTTCTTGCATATTTATATCCAAACACAATAACCAAATACAAAACAGAATTCAAGACTCAACTTATAGTTTGTAGTTTAAAAAGAATCTCTTTATTAAACCTGTTACAGGATTCATTTTTTAAATATAAGTACAAAAAATTCTAGGATTGTCACCAAAAATGTAATGAACAATGGTCTAGTTTCTTTTCCTTTACTTTTGTTCTTCTGAGTTTTCTTAATTTTTTCTATAAAGAATGTGTACTTTTTTTTAACCTGAAGCAAATTCTTTTCGCACTCCCTTATCCCACCAATTTTATCACAGTTTATGGCCTATCAACTAGGATTCATGTACAATTGCTGACATTAATCTTGCTTTCTGGGTTTTATTTCCAACTGTCCTAAACTTTTCCTACACTAATTTTTGTTAAAGGCCTTTCCTATTAACACAGTAACCAAAGTTAAAACATGACCTTTGAAAATTCCAACTTCATATGAAAATTGTGCATAAAAAGCCAACTATCATAATTAGATATTCAAGTTAGAAAGCAAATACTTGGCTATGTAAGATAAATCATAACTCTTACCTTCCATTTCCTGGTTTGACAAGAATTGTCAAATTTCTTTTTAAAAAGTATGCATATACATTTCTTTGACATTCTATATTCAGTAAAAACCAATTAATATTATAATTATTGTGGAATTTTGACAATTCTGGCAATGGCAGTTTTTAATTTCACTTCTATCTAGCAAAACAAATTAACATTGTAAGATTCCAAATGTTCAACCTGGTAAAAATCAGGACATGTTTCAATCAAGTACATATCATCTAAAAAAAATAGTATTGCTATCTAGTCATGAGTTTTGCATTACATTTCTGGAGGCCTAAGTGTTCAAAATAAATGTGGCATTCACATAATACTATAGTTCATGAAAAGAGTATATTCTTTTATTGTTTTTTCATACATGTTTCAACTTTCAATAATAAAATTCAATAAATTTGGTTCCTTAATCATAAAAACTTGCTTTACACATTATTTACATGTTTCCAAGTCAACAGCCATACAAAACACCACAAGGATTTGACTCTATGCATGATACCATCACACAGAGGGGAGCTAATCAAGTAACATACATTCAAAGGTTAAATTATAGTTATGCACAGTGTATTTGGCACTGTTCATTACCATTATAACACCTTTCTCTCAGAAATAGGCATTTTAAGTCTTAGACACAATATGCCAGAATTGTTATTCACATCATAATCAGTTTTCAAACTTCGTAACAATAATCAGTTTTAAAAGACAAAAACACAACCAGAATTGGGAATGGAATTTATACCCTTCAACTTCTTGCTACGCTCCAAGCTGCCATCCCTAAAGCAGGTTTAATTTGATCAGTTGTCCACTCTGGGGATTGCCAAGAGGAAACAACTGAAAAACAATATATTATCCTTCAACACACAGACATTTTTCTCTAAAATTACCAGTTCTTCTTGAGAGTGCAAAGGAGCCCTGATGATACATAACTTGTAATGATTTTGGCAGGAGTTATTGAATGACCAATGCTATTCAAGTTGTTCAGACCATAATAGCAGGTAACTCAAAATAATGATCTGGAATACCTGTGTCTGAATTCAGATTCTTAGCAACTTGTTTTTAAGAATTGTTAACATTCAGGTCACAGGTTACAGATTTAATTAGATGTGTATATGCTACAATGCTATGAAATGGAAGGAGAAAGTAAAAGTACAAAGACTCAACTATTAAGTCTTTAGAGACAATGGTTATCTCCCAGTTTTTTACTCCACTAACTTCATTAGCATACGCTAAATCCCTTCACTTCAATTGGGTCCGTTAAATTTTAGTTGTTAAAGCCATACATATTCCAGAATGTTTATAAAAGACACTTATATCATGTTTGTAAGTTCAGTCTTAAGTGAAGGCAAAAAAGTCTCAATAGTACATGGAGCTCAGTACAGGGGAACAGAAATCAGAAATTCTGTTAAAGATGAGAGATATGCTCTAGTTTCACACAAAATTTTCAGCAATAAATTAAGAGTTTCAAAAAAAATTAAAATGTACAAAGGACTATAGGTAGTGCAAAGTAATGTCACTGGACCAAAATTTAGTTTAATCATTTTATTTCAAGTGTATTTTTAAATCATAAATGGGTTTTTGTAATGAGAAGTTGAACCATTTACTCTTCATACCTTTAAAATTTGACAAGCAATTTTAGAGGCCTTGCTTTCCAAATCCAGTCTTCTTTGCTATTTTCATACTGAGACCCAGTATTTAAATTACTCCATTCTACATGAACAATTTTAGGTAACTATTGTACATGTGTTAATAAGACTTCTCTGAAAACAGTCCATCAAATATAAATAATGGTTTCTGTTCAAGGATCAGCAGTGACGGAAGAAATATTAAATACCTATCAAAACATCATTTACTCATTTTAAAAATAACAGAACCAGTGCTGTTCTCTGTTATGAACGAGAACACAGAAAATTAAATTACTTTTGCAGACTTTGGTAGTATTTTATTACCTACACAAGTCTCAACCTTGAAAGAACTTTTATGCAAAGTTACCATCAGGATTTACTGAGTAAAAATCCTGGGTACTAACATGGCCCTAAGTGTACAATTCCAAAGAGGAACAGGTTACTTTTGAGGAAAACAGCTGTCTTGGTTATTTCCCTCAAATGTGTATCTGAAAAGTGAAGGGATATGTTTTTTAAAACAACTTTGGGTAATAGCTAGCTCACCAACCACCAAACAAAAAAGAAATCAAAACTTTTTTCTGGCAATTTTCTACCTTTAGGGACTTTTCCTTTTTTTGACTGCCTAATATTTAATTTTTTTTTTCAATTTTAAAACAACTTTGGGTAATATCTAGCTCACCAACCACCAAACAAAAAGAAATCAAAACTTTTTTCTGGCAAGTTTCTACCTTTAGGGACTTTTCCACCTTTTTTTGACTGCCTAATATTTAATTTTTTTTAATTTAAATTATTAAAATTCTGCATCTGTAGTTAGAGTTCTTTTTCAAATGATCTTCACAACCCAGAACACAGACACCAGAGCAACACGCTCAACTCACACTGTTGGTTTATAATGAAGAGATGAAAATGGATGAATAATCGTAAGCAGGTACTCCCTCTGCTCTAAAGGTGAGCAAGTTTTTAACATGTGAACAACACAGAACTCCATTGCTCTAGAGATCTCTCAAACTCAGGAGGGCTTCCATTTAAGAAGTCAATATATTATTCTTAAAAATTAAAGTTTGGTCACCTAGTCACTAAGAAAGGCTGAACAAAATTATTCCCCCCAACCCCAAACAGCAACTAAACAGTGCTAATCACCCCGCCCCTTCCCACAAAAACAGGGAAGTGGTTGAGACTGAAGCATTTATATTTAAAATTTTAGCTCCTAAAACACTGCTATTTGCTCAAAGTTGCAGTCTACAGATGTCACTCTCCAATACTTTCCCCATTTATAAGTTTATTTACACACACACACACACACACACACACACTCACTCTCTCACTCTTACTCTCAAGTAAGACACTTTTTTTTGTTTGTTGATAAATTATGAGGATTATGAACTAGGTGTATACAGGGTTTGACAGGTGCTTTGTAAACATCAGAGTCACTTGGGTCCTTTTCTCCAAAGCCTGAAATCAAATTCTGCAGCCAGGGGTCACTACTTTCCCAGACGTTGTTCACAGGCTGCATATTGACGAAGGGCAGAGAAAAAATCCTCATAACTGATGTTTAGGTGGGAAGGCAAAGATCTGAAAATAAAGCAGAGGGAAAAATTAAATGATAAAAACTGTAATTTGGGGGGTACCAGAGGGATAATGACCAAAAAGATCTTGATTAAGAGCAGAAATTATAGGCATACAGTATGTCAAACCAGTTCTAAGAAACCAAACTAGGAAATAATTCAAATAAAAAATAATCATCTCTCCTTTTTTCCACACAAGAAAAGCAACATGTATTGAGAGATTCAGAATCTATTAAAATTTACACTAGATTAATTCAAAACTGGAAATCTACTTATAAAGCATCTCAAATTCACTTTTAAGAATTCTCTTTAAAAGCAAGCCAGTATTAAAAGGTTTTTGAAAGCTAGGCTTAACTCTGGCAAAGTAGCACAGCATTCTCACATGACTGTATTACAAAGTCATCAGGTGAGCAACCAACCAATAAGTGAACAATGTTTATCTCCAACATGTCCAGTTGCTCAAGCAGGGAAGTGCGGTATAAAACCACAGACTTTCCTCTCCTGCCGCCCGCTGCTCCCCTCAGCAGTGTACTTCGGTCCTTCTGCCTGCTCTGCTCCCCGCTCTGGCTCTGGTGGATTCTCTCACCCTCCCACGCTTCTGACTGTACCCAGTGCATGTATAAACAAACAAACAAACAAATAAATAAATAAATAAAACATGCCTCTATTAAAAAAAAAAAAATTGGAAAAAAAAAATTCTTAAAAATAAAACCACAGACTTTAAAGGTAGAGCGAATATTTAGTGAGATGGTTTCCCTTTAACTATTACAAACACTTAAAGCAATTTTTAATAATTAACATAAAGTCTGTAATTCATACAGCTTTACTGTAAGGCTTTAGAAATTCCAAACTCTACCAAAGCTAAACACCTGGTCAGAGTACGAGGGTCACCTTCAGAATTCCAGCCATCATATGCACCACAAAAACAAGACCTGAACACACTGCCATAAACAAACTCCTGCCTGACCTCACAGCTCTCTGTAGCTGTGCTTTACCCACTACCCCCCACCACTTTACTGAGCTATAACTGACATATAATTTTTATCCTTCCTTTGCTAAGAATTCTGAAACAAGTGAACTGTTGTCCTCCAGTTCCCTTATCTCTTAATAATCTTCACTAGGAAGATTATATTATTTCTATCTTATTGACTCTACTGAGTAATATCCTTGAAGGACAAATCTAAGAACATTCTTGCTAAAGCTTGTTTCAAAGATCCTCGTCTACTACCCACTTTCATAAGCTTTCCTCATTTTACCCCCTCTATCAACAGCTTCACCTCCTATCCTCAAGAAGCATGTGGTATTCTCCTCACTGCCTCAGAAGCAATCTTATAATTCCCTAGCTGTTCCACACTTCTACTTCTCCATATTATAATTAAGACATTTTTCCTGCTGTCACAGTGCTTACAGTCTGGTGGATGGTATGCAAACAGACAAACTTCAGATAGAGCTGTGACATACATATGCATCAACATCCATGGGAAAATCTGGTATGTGCTAGGCATGATTTCCATTATCAGATATTAAGTACTCAACTCTGTATTAAAACACCCATTTTACAAATCTAGAAAAGTTTTAATAGCTTCCCAAAGTCATGTTATTGAGCTGCACAGCCAAGATTCAAATCAAGACCTAACTGTTCTAAAACATACTCTTTCCTCCAAGCCACTCCAATCTCACAAATTACTGATGATACCTTTCTTGAAGCTCACTTGGAAGGCACCTGAAATGTCTGAAGAAACCCCCTGAAGAACAAGAGACAAAAAAAAAAAAAGATGTCTACCATAAGAAAACCCAGAGTCAGGCGATAGGGTTTCTGACTCCACTTTAGCACAGGCCAGAGCAATCAATGTCTCTTCTCCATTTTCCTTGAGTATAAAATGAGGATGGACCAGACGATTTATAGTCCTCCCTGACTCCCAACATGCTATCTGGTCTTTAATGCCTCTTTATTTTGCACCTGTCCTCCTGCTGCCCCAAGCCTGAAATAACCCTTAAAAGATCCACTGGTACTGTGTTCTTTGATGTACACTTTAGAGAGGTCCTCTATTCTCATAAGCTCAACTATTTCTACTTTCTAGGTACTGACAATCCCCAAGTGTTCATCTTTAGCCTTATCCAAGTATCGATTCCACATCTTTATCTGCCCTTTTAAGAGTTCCCATCTCAATAGACTATGGCCTCAAAATCACTTTTTTTTTTTTAATTTTTTAAAAGATTTTATTTATTTATTTATACAAGCACTGGGTACAGTCAGAAGCATGGGAGGGTGAGAGAATTCACCAGAGCCAGAAAGGGAAGAGAACAGGCAGACAGACGAAATACACTGCTGAGGAGAGCAGCAGGAGTGGCAGGAGAGGTCTGCGCGCCATGTGGGACCCTCGCCGGTGGCCGGGGATCGAATTGGCGCTGCAGAGGCTGCGGGCTGCTTTGCAGCACAGCGCTCAACCGCTGCGCCACCAGGGGAGGGCCTCAAAATCACTTTATGCTTGAATTCAGTATCATCCCTTCAAAATGCTCCCTTCTTTCTGTTTTTTTTCTTCTTCTCAGTAACACCACAATTCACCAAGACATTTAGATTGAAAACTTAGAGGAGTCATTTCCTTCCTTCTCTTTTAGCATAACTGTAATAGTAAAGTGTTAGACTTGCAATTATACTGGGCAAATATTCTTCATGAGAGCTAGAATTGGTAGTATATTCCACCTAAGATCCAGAATTTAAATGTATTTTAAGGCTACTACATCTCTATTTTAAATCAGGGGTTGGCAAACCAGCGCCTGAGCCCACCACCTGTTTTGCAAGTAAGGTTTTATTGCAACACGGTCATGCACATGTGTTTATGGATTGCCTGTGGTTGCTTGGCTATACTAGTCACAGAGAGTAGTAGCTTGTAAGAGACTGTATGGCCTACAGAATCTAAAATATTTACCATCTGGCCCTTTACACAAAAATGTTGCCAAATTCTGTTCTAAGCAAGCAATTTATTCTCCTCACTGTAATCGCCCATAAATTAGTTAAAGCCTCTTCACTTCTCTTTTTAACCTCATTCTTTCCCAAACCCAATTTATCCTAGCATAGTTACCAAACAAATCTCTCAGAATCACCAAACCTATATTACTCTGCAGACTGCTTAAGCAAACTACACAAGCTCCTTATGTGCCATCTGAATCCCTCCCATTGTCAACATCCCAACGCTATTTGAATCCATCTTATCTACTATCTAACACTAACTCTGCTCTGAGAGAGCCATCTTTTTTTTTCTTTTTCTTTTTTTTAAAGATTTATTTATTTATATATACAAGAACCGGGGTACAGACCAGATGTGTGGGAGGGTAAGAGGATTCACCAGAGACAGAGCAGGGAACAGAACAGGCAGAGTGACGAAATACACTCCTGAGGGGAGCAGCGACACTGCAGAGGCTGCAGACAGCTTCACAGCACTGCACTCAACTGCCTGTGCCACCAGGGGAGGCCCTGGGAGGGCCATTTCTTTAAAATGTTATGTTCATTCCCAACCTCCCAGTTTTTCCCCCTCTGCCCACACCTACATTTACTAACTTTTCTCTAATTACAAAAATTCTACCTTTTGTACATGCCCCTAATCAAACATATTTTCTCTAGAATCAACAAATTTGACCTACGATATATCTTTCACTCCTAATCTCCTATGACAGTGTCATTATCAAGCGTTTGTACAGCTACACACTCTCTTGTGTCTGCATCATTTATCTTACCACTGATATTATGAAATACCTTAGAGAAAGAGTTCAGTACTGTAATTCCTATTGTATCTAGTGCAGTGCTGAGCTCAAGAAACACCTGCTGAATCAAACCAAAGCCAGTATACTTTTAATTACTTACATAATCTCAGTCAGTCTGATGTGCCAGGGAAGAAAGCCTAATGTGCTGTCCACAGGACCAAACTTCAAGACTAAATCAGGATCAGGGAAACCATTTGAACCTTAGAAAAAAAGAATACACAAGCGCTTAATATGCACTACTTACAAATAAAATGACAAAGAGCAAAATCTGTCAAATTGGCTTCTTATGCTTTATATGTTTTCTCAAACGTTTCACTTGTCTATTTCCATACCTCCACCCACTGCCAAATATACTTTAGTAGCTATGTAACTTGTAAATGTAGAACGTTCTCTAAAAACCTCTTAACTGGACTGATTACCTGTTAAAGAGGGATAATTAATTTCTACGCTAAATCCTACAGGTAGCCCCCCCAAACCATCCATCTTTAAGACCAAATGTTTTCAGGCATCTTAGAATGTACACTGCTTTTTAGGGGTACAAATGGTTATTCTGGCCATACAATCAAAGAACTTCAGAGATGAAAGGAACTTAAAACATTATCTACTCTCCTTCCCCAGGCTCCTCATTTTATCACTAAGGAAGGACCCAGAATAACTAATACACAATTATCCAGAACAAATGATTTCAGTGTCCCCGAGGCCCACCCCGTGAGGGAAGGGAGACATATATCCGTCTCAACAAAGGCATGGCCATTTTGTTTTAAAAACTGGTTTCCATAGGAGACCTAGCTTGAGAATTAAAAAGGGGGCAAGGATATTTCACTTGCTTAAAAATAAAGTAAAATAAGTCTGAAGAGTCACAGGTACTAGAGAGAAAACGTAATCCAACAGTTTCGAATGCCCTCACACTTCTGCCACAAACCTTCTAGTCACACACCCTCTCCCTGGCTCAGTCCTTCACTTGCTAAATAAGGAGAGAGATCTAGACAGCACTGTCCAGCACTTTCAATTACTTTCTTAGCAAAGTCTCTTCAAAATCCACGTTTATAGAGTTAATGGACTAAGCGGAAGAACAGATTACTCTGCTTGCTAAAATAGCAAATTGTCTTTAGTTTTAAAAAAAATGACAAAAACGGACTTCTGGCTAACAGTGGTATGCAAAGAGTACCTAATCCTATCCAAAATATCATGTATTAAACTACACAAAAACAATCATTTGAAGGAAATGGATATTGACCAAGAGTAGACAACTACTCTTTAAAAACAGCTAGCACTTCAGGTAAGAATGGGTAGAAGTTTTGGCCTGGCTGCCTGGGAATACTCCTAAGCCCCAAGCTTCTACCACCAACCAAATGATCATAACTGCAGTTGTACCAGCACAAGATGGCAACAAAAACCCAGCAAATTTGCTGCCTTAGCCAGAAGACAGGAACTTGGTTTGTAACTGGAGGTTATGGACTGGAGAAAGGGGGCAGTAAACACCAATGATTTTGCCAGCTAAAAGTGGCAGACTCAAAAGAGAAAGAATGAAAAAAATCCACAGCTTTGTTAGCCTCAGGTTAGAACCCCAGTTAGGGCACACAGCATAATGGCTAGAAATTTAGCAGGGAGATGTAGAAATAAGAACTCAGGTAAAATGCCCATATATTCATAACTGATTGCAAAACAGCACACAAGCTGGCAAGGGGCAGGGGGATGGGACAGACCACGAGGCAATATGAAAACCAAGTGAAAAGTAAAATCCAGAAGATTTGTAAACTGGTGGCAACTTTGAGTGCACTCTCCAACATCACACAAAGTTCACTGAAGTCTTACAAATTCTGGGATGTACTAGTACAGCCAGTATACAAATCACTGGTTGACACAATAAGCTACAAAAAACCCAAAATACATAAAGACCTCTTAAAAACTCAGTAATTAGACTAAGAACCCATTCAAAACAGGCAGAATATTTGAACAGGCACCTATAACAGAAACAATGTGAATGACAAGTTAGCATGTGAAAAATGCTCCACTAGTCATTAGGAAAATATGAATTAAAATCACAACTTCATACCCACAGAATGGCTAAAATTAAAAAAGAAAAAAACAACTGACAACACTGTGTCTTGGCAAGGACTATTCAAAGGTATGGCCTCTCTGGAAAAAATTTGGCAGTTTCTTAAAAGTTAAGTGTTCACTCACCACATGATCTAAACATCCCACTATTAGTTATTTACTCAATGGAAAGAAAAATATGTCCACATCTTGTATGTGAATGGCGATAACAGCACTATTCTAACAAGCCAAACAACTCAAATGATGGATAAATAAAATGTGGTATATTCATAAAATAGACCATGATTCAATATAAACAAAAAGTAATGAAGAACTAGCACATGCAACATGCGTGAAGCAAAAAATAAGCTGAGCAAACAAAGTAAGCCATAAAAAACTGCACTATATGATTCCAGTTATGTCAAATATTTAGAAAAGGCAAAAGTATAGTCAGAAAGTAGATCAGTAGTTGCCTTGTGCTGGGAACAGAAGTGGGGATTAATTGCAGTCACAAGAGAACACTTGTGGATAATAGTATCCAGAAGGTTTTCTGCCAGATTAATGAATTAATTCAAGGACTATGTACACTTTCATTTATCTTGGGCCTAATATCCTTTGAAAGTAAAGCCTGAGCTCAACATTTGAGCTATGGAGATAGGCTACCTTTGGTCCGTCCATCACTTTTAGGAGATTCTCATAAATTACTCTCTGGCTGTGCCTTACATAATCCAGGAAATGTAAACAACCCAGTAACCTCTGACCAGAAAACCTCTATAATGATCTATTTAAGTCTGTTCATTCAGCCTGAACACAGGAAGCAATAACAGAGATGAAGAGAGTAGAGGAAGAACTAAGTAGTCAGTGAAGGTAAGGAATTAGAAAAATCAAGACGTCAGAGAGAGACTGTGCTCTGTGATGGACATGTGTCAAAGTGGAAGAAACAAAGAATGGAGAATTAAATAAATGACTGAGTTAGAAAATTCATGAGTAGTAAACAAGGTAAATGGAGAATCTAGTGCATAAACAAAAAATGTATGTCTGAAATTGTTTGACTATAGAAACTGTCAATGGACATGAATTTGTTAGAAATATTGTTTTTCTTCAAAACGATCTAGGGTAATGGCTAGTAAGCAGAAAGACCATAAAGTTAAGGCAAAACATTCCTGGAGGCATCTAAGACAATAAGCAAATTAAAGTCTTTTATAAACAGTTGAAGGAAAAAAATATATAACTTTATTTCATATATCATAATATAATAAATGTATCATATGGCATAACAGAAGCAAATTATCAAGACTTAGGAGGGAGCTGTGGGACTCCTCTAGTTAGAGGGAACTGATCAACAGTTCAAGCCGCCCACAAATTGCAACTGGCCTCTGAAGAAGGAGTAATTTTGTGTGACTGAGCCCTTAAACCTAACTCTAACTCCAGATGCTTAATATCTGAGTCGAACTGTTGGCTATCTAGCTGTTGTCTGGAGAATTAAGAATTCACTTTCGTAAAGGAAAACATCCCAGAACAAGGAAGGCTGATGAGAAGATACCTTATTTTCAAAATAATCCATCACGCCCCACAAAAGCCCTCTCCAACCATTCTGTCCTTTATCAGTAAATTCTCATGCAAATGGCTTGACTACAAGAAGTCTCACTATCTCAAAATCATTTCATATGTGGGTCTTTAAATTTTAGAAAAATTACAAGTAAAACAACAACAAAACCAAACTTTATACTATGAAAAAACCTAGATATTCTCCTCCATACTGTATCCTTGTGGGATAAAACTAAGAAGATAATATACATATACATAGACTTACTAAGTAAACTGTCTAACATATCTACATCCAAATCTGTGGATCTCTTTTGCTGCTGGGCTACTAACTGGCAAAAGTCCTGAGCAGCTCTCACAATATCTGCTTTTCCATCTTCAGGGGACAATACCTTCACAGCCGACTGGCAATTTAAAACTGGAAGAAAAACAAATATATTTATTAAAAAAAACACTCTGTCCTGGGTAGTTTTCAAAATCAGTTTCAAGAAGTACTAAATTCAGACCAAAATAAAGGTACAGTTCCTATATTAAATAAGAATAATTTAGGCCCTTCAAATTCAGTACCAAAACATAGTTATTCCCCTCAGAAAGGACCCACACACATGTGTATACATTTATATTCTGTCCTCTTTTCAGAGTTCTCAGAGACCTTACATATGTGAATAAATGCTCTAGAAAATAGGAACTTTTATTATAGGCTATCTTATAATTTTTACTAGTCTAAAATGCCACCTACAATCATAGTACAGTGAGCAAAAACAAGCGAGAAGACAAAAATGAAGATTGTAGGGGAAAAAAATGTTTCAATGGGATATGCATCCATCTATAGTTCCCCTTATCAAAATGATACTATGGAGTTATTTTACACTGATAGCATTTTAGGTAATTGACAGCAATGTTAAATTCTTACTTATAGACATGCAAATTACTTCTTGACAGATAGAGGTTCAATTATCTTCCATCTAACCCCACAGAAAAACCAGTTTTGCTGCTATTTACATATTCATTTCAATTACTTCTGGCCTATATATAAATTGTACTCGTTCTTTGGATACACTTTTGAACCCATTATAAAATCTGCTTAGCTCCTAGTTGTTTATGAATTGAATAAAATGTTCAACATGTCCATTTTTTAATATCTATGAGACATGATTTTATCTTTTTCTGAAAATTATCTTTTAATAAGATGGAGAAAGAAAGCCCAAATCTGATGATTAAAGATGGTGACAATAAAGACTAACAGGCAGAAATGAATAAAGGAGTGGCAGAATTTGCCTTGAAACACAAACACATCTGCATATATTATTCAATTTTATTCTCATGCTTACCTTGATCATCTTTGTCATTACTATTTGCAAACTCTGGTGAGTATTTGGAACAATCTAAGCCCAGAAGTTCCTGCTGCTGTTTTAAAATTTCATCCATCAATCTGGAATTATTTCTTTTGAAAATACCTTAAAAAGAAAAAAGAGCAAGTAAATGCCAACTAGATTAATTTATCCTTTTCAATAACTAATGGATGCTTGTTATGAAAACAACACTGGATCCAAAAATGAACAAACTGTAAATAAGGCAGCAAGGACTAATCCTAACCTGGAATCTAAAAGAAAAACACAACAAAATTCCATTAATACAATAGTCTGGTTTCATGCTAGTAAGAACAGGGTGTCTACATGATGCATAAAAATTTAGACCTAGAAAAAAATGTAAAAGGTCATTTACTTGAAACCCTTAACAGATAGCGATAGTGAGACCCAACATTCTCAAAGTGTAACAGGGTGGTCCCCAGGAAAGGGGGAGGTTCCCTGCCCCTCCCAAGGGAGGGTGGAGCTGAGCAGGAAGAGGAGAAGCTGGAGAAGAGACTGAGGAAGGAAGGAAGCAGGATGGAGCCAGGAGACCTGGAGGAGGCACATGGAGCCTAGAGACACGTGAAGAAACTGCGCTTGTCTTTTGGTCGTGGACTGGGTGACACAGATGTGGGTGAGACCCGTGGGGAGGTGACAATGGCAGCTTTTATCTTGATGTTGATTTTGCTCTTTTTCTTTCGGGCTTGTCCAGTTGTTTGTGACCCTTTTCTGTGGGTCCCCACTGGAAGATGCTTTAGACTTGTGGCAGGCTTTGGGGCCTTGTTCTGGGCCAATCCCATTTGGATGGACTTTTACCCACGAGGGGACGGGTAACTTTGGGTGCTTTATTTAGAAACTAGATTTTTTGCCTTACCTGTATTGTTTCTTAGTTTTATTAAAGTTCCTTTTTATTAAAGTTTCCTATGTTTTGTGTTGATGCGGCGGATGACAGAACCCATTTAGAATAGGCAGGTTTGTGGGGCTTGGGCTGCCCCTTTCCCTGTCCTATAACAAATTTGGCGACCACGAAGACTTCCTCAAGAATGTAATCTGTAGTACAAACACATCCTCCTGACTCCCGGTTACTATGTACATTCAATATTATTGTCTCCACTTGATTAGCTTTTTAATGGTAAGAGGAATTAATACAGTGTAAAAAGTAGGAAAATACAAAAATAACAAAACTGAAATTTACCAAATTCAAACAAAGCAAGGAAACACACTATAAAAAAACTTTTTAATTCTTGCCAAGCATAGAAAAGTTAAAACTTTACTACTCGCATATCACTGGGAAAGATGACAGAACTGTGTGACATATATTTAATATGAAACTGATGTCATTTTTGGAATCTGTGGGTTTGGAGTGCAGGGTCCTTGGGTTCACTCTGGGAAAGGTTTCACTAGAGCTCCCTTTTCAGCGACACATGGTGTGTTTCCCCGGTGAGTTTCTCCATGAGACAGAGACGGTAATTAATTCAAAGGGCAGGTTTATTAGGAAAAGGGACAAGAGAGTATAAGACACTTGTATACACACAAGGGGCAGAAAGGGCTGCCTTGAAAGGGGCAGGTTTGCTGAGAGAGGCCTGCATGGCTGCAGGCGGGTGGCCTTGAGGAGAGCTGCCTCTGCTGAGGGAGGTCAGTGAGGAGAAGCCCCAGCCTGGTACAGGTCAAGGGGAGGCAGGAAGCTGCTGCCCTGCAGAGAGAGCTGGTGAAAAGAAGCACCTGCATAGTAACAAGTGGGCAGACGGAGTGCTGCCCCGAGCCTGGGCAGAGACTGCACTGACAGAGTCGTCTCCTATTTGGGAGGGGCTCATTCCTGGTGAGCCTTTGGGTTAGTTGCTGATTGTGGGTAAATATGTAGAATCTGAAAGGGAATAGAGATTCCACAGTGGGCTCAATCTCCATTATCTTCACCCTCAGGCCTGTGCTCCACTTCCTTCAACAGGCTGATCCTGCTTGGGTCTTATGCCTGCGATAAGGCACTGGCACCTAAGGGTCCCGACCTCTACAGCTGGGTTAATGTCATGTTATTTTCCTCTAACCTCACCTCCTTGTGTGAGTCAGGTTCTGGTCTTGGGGCACCTCTTTTCCAGTCTTTCTGTTCTTGCCTCCATCAAAACTAACAGAGCTCTAACAAAACAAGTGACAAGTGGCTCATTTTGGAGAGGCAGCTTTTTAGTGGCCACTGCCTTTATAACCTTATCAAATGATCCTAACTCGAGATTCCCAGTCAGATCTGACTTTAAAGCAGCTCAAGGATTGACAGGAGAGAACATAAAAATATACATGAAATAACAAAGAGTCAGCATGTGCTGTATACAACTGCCAGCTGGACAGTACATGTGCAATAGTAGTCCAAAGATAAAAACGCAGACTCCTTTGGTAGGGGAAAGCTTTGTAATCCCAGAAAGTTAACAAGAAGAAAATTAAGAGGATATTCAGTTGGGGGGAAATGTGTACGAAAAAGCACTGAACACTCAAAAGGCAGAAAAATAATGCTTGTGCAAAGGATCTGAAAAAAGGGATATGGGGACGGGCCTAATTTTTACTTCATTTGTCTACCAAACAAACAGGTAACCAATGATTCCCAAGCAATGTGGAAATGTATAAAAATGTATATACTTAAGAAAATTAACTTGTGAAGCCAGAAGACTACTGCAGTAATCCAGGCATGGTTTGATGAAGCGATGGAAAAGGATTCACTACAAAGGAAGAACTGAAAATAAAGAGAATGACTTCAGTAGAGGTGAACAGAGAAAATTCCGTGGCTTTTGGAATTCCAAATTTTGGCTTTTGGAATACCAAAATTCTTGGTAACAAAAAAGAAAAAAAAAAAAGATAACTTTTAAGTGGGGAAACTCTGCAGAGAACTAGTTTTCAGGTTTAGTTTTAAACAACAAATGATAGAATGTTTAGGTGGGGGTATTGTGAAAATGCCTAAAAGACATGAGGGGAAGACCACTCAGGTGCTATCAGCACCAGGTGGGTAGGGATCTTGTCTGTTTTGCTCATCACTGACTAGCACAGAGCCTAGCACAGAACAGATACTCAAACAATAAGCCAGAAATTGGTTGAGAGACTGGAAAGGTCTTTTTAGGGTAAGTGACATTTCAACTGGTCCATAAAGAATAAGATATGCACTTGGGAGTCACCATGCTTCATGAGAAAGCCAAACAAGCAAGAAATGACAAATAACATCTTCAAAGGTAAGGAAGGATAAATGGAGAAAAGCAGAGGGCTGAGGAGGTGGTTCCTTATTAAAGTCCACAATCCTGATACTGTAAATTTGGAGATAGAAAAGTGAACATTGTGTAGCATCCATACCCAGAGCAAAATTAAACAACAACAAAAAAAATTCCCAAATAAAAACACAAATTTTAAAGAGAGGCGATTAAATATCAAGAGCTGTGTGAATAACAATGTTTAGAAAAGTAATACCTGCATAGCCATACAAATGTGTAGGATATAACAACCATTACCTCAAGTCAATCATAAAATTCACATGACAAAAAATACAAAAGCAGGTACAACCAAACAACATACAAATACGAGTTTATAAATATTAGACCATTTCACATCACACTGATCCTTTCCTATATTGAAGTCGTGTTTCAGTTTTTACCAATTCACTCATCTTCACCTTCGCTTCCAGATTAAAACTGGAAAGCTTTTCAGGAATGCTTGCTCTTTCCAAGGCAATGGATGGCATTCTTTATCATCGAAATGGTTGCTACCTTTTCTCAATCTCTAGCCTTGCCTTCTCAATCTTTCTGAAGTGTTACCATAAAAGATCATATGGCTTCCTTCTCAAAATTCTATCCTTATCCCAGGTTGTGTGAATGTCCCAATTTACTCCTTGAATGACTCCCTTCTCAACTGGCACTAAAACCTTCTCTACCCCTAGGCTGGTATTATTCCCCAGAGCTCCTATCTCAGTTCTCTCTCTCTCTGTCCATGGGCTCCTCCTCCTGTGATCTAATCATTCGCAGGATTTTAAAACCATCTGGGGTCAGGACAAGGGTTAGATGAATAAGGCAAAATTTACAAAGGGAGTCACACACATCTTAATTAAGATAAATAAGAATTTAGTATCTTTAACAAATTAATGCAAAAACATCCAAAATGAACAAAACAAAAATTTTAATGCAAACAATCAGCTTTTAGTTCCTAACAATTCCAGTTCATTCAAACATCTAATTCTACCTAGAAGTTCTACAAGCATCTAAAACTTGGTAGCTTATCTTTTAAAGTTAGCACTAATACTTCTATTACAACAAGTTTGGGGTTTTTTTTGAATGGAGTAGTATTAAAAATGTAGAACTTGTATGTACTTAGGCACAAGACCTGGAAGACAACAAGCACTATGAGAACAGTAAATGTGTAAGAGATGGTGAGGAAATATGTGATTTTAAATCAAAACTGCTGTAAAGCTGTTTGTATAAATTAAAAAAAAAAAAATCCCTTCTTGTCCTATTTCTAATAGAACCTGCCCAATCACCTAGGCACATCTTTACCTAACAATATCACTACCTCACCTCTCATACATAGTGCTATTAATATGCTAAATCAATATACTTTCTACAGCAAGGTTTCCTGTATACAGCTCCTTTTGTCCACTGTCCCCAGAGTTTCAAGTAACAGTCTACTTTATAGTATCACAACCATCTTCTAATGGGTATTCCTGCCCTGCTAGCTAGCATGTTATCACTACATTGATAACCAGATTAATCTTCTTTGCGTACACCTTCAATCCTGGCACATTCCAACTTTGTATGTCTTCAATGGCTCCCAAAATGCTTAATATATCAAGAACAAACTGCTCAGAAGAGCATTAACATGCTATGCTTCCACACTTCGTGGGTGGAAATAATTTATGGAAAAAAATGTATCTTCCCATTTCTGTAGAACCCTCTATCCTCAGCAAAACAGAACTGCCTTATGTTCCCTGCAAAACACAATGACTCCAATCATCCTCCTTTATGTTACATCCCCACCCCCACCTGTAAAGTTCTAATTCTTCAAATGAAGTGTCACCCTAAAGAAGTCCTTCCCCAACCTGATGCGCCTCATTTCTCCTCACACTCACCTTTACCCTCTCCAAATGCATC